CCTTCCTTCCTTCCTTCCTTCCTTCCTTCCTTCCTTCCTTCCTTCCTTCCTTTCTCTCTCTCTCTCTCTCTTTCTCTCTCTCTCTTTCTTTCTTTCTTTCTTTTTTCTTTCACAGGGTCTCTTTCCCATTGCCCAGGCTGGAGTACAGTAGCATGCTCTCAGCTGACTACAACCTCTAGCTCCTGGGCTCAAGGGATCCTCCTGACTCAGCCTCCCAAGTCACCGGCACTACAGGTGCCCACCACCACACCCAGCTAATTTTTTTTGTTTGTTTGTATTTTTAGTAGAGATGGGGTTTCACCATGTTGACCAGGCTGGTCTTGAACTCCTGGCCTCAAGTGATCTGCTCTCCTCTACCTCCCAAAGTGCTAGGATTACAGACATGAGCCACCGCATCCAGCTTGTCTGTTTTTTAATATGACAAGAGTATCCTGGCTGCTGAGACCTGGTCCTGCCTGTTTCCACATGAAACACCTTTCTGCTGGAGGAAGTGGAAGGATTCATTTTGGGAAAACATTTCTCAACCTTTTCTGCATACTAGAATCACCTGAGGAGCGTAAAAGATCTCCTGGGACCCACTAACAGAGACTCTGATATAACTGGTCTGGAGTGGGGTCCTGACATTGGTTTTTCAAAAGCTCCCCAAGTAATTAGAATACCCAGAAAGAGTTGAGAACCCTGATTTGGGGGTGTGGAAATAAAGAAATCAACCCAGTGGCTGCACAAAAATCTCAGAAATTATCACTAATAAACTTATTCATGTAACCAAACACCACCTGTTCCCCAGAAAGCTATTGTAATGTGGGCAATCACAGTAACTATTCCACTGGTTTGTTGCTGGGATTAAGAGGAACAGTGCATGGAAATTCCCACATCTGGCACATGGCGACTATTCAAGAAATCTCAGTTTTTCTTATATGCACTGGAATAGCAATAACAACAAATGTATTTTTCTAAAGAAAATAACTCTCCATAAGGTACAGGGCATCACATCACCTCCTCTGTATTACTTCATTTCTAGAAATGTAGAAAGTACTATTTTTAGAACCAACAGCCACAGTGCTGGCATTTCTGGCCTGACATTTACACACATCTCATTTTCACACATTAAGGAATCAATAGTGGATGAACAAGAGAGTAACAAAGAAGAAAATATCCATCTGACAAGATTTCTTCGTGTCCTGGCCAACTTTCTCATCATCTGCTGTTTGTGTGGAAGTGGGTACCTCATTTACTTTGTGGTGAAGCGATCCCAGCAATTCTCCAAAATGCAGAATGTTAGCTGGTATGAAAGGAATGAGGTAAGAAGGACATCTCTGATGAAGTGAAGGCTGAGGGCAAAGACTGAAATCACTGGTTCCTATGCCATTCATTTGATTTATTGAAAGTCTGGATTATAGATTTGTTTTAATAAGTGAAATTACATCCCTTTCCAGTCAAATAACGTGACTATCCTGAACAAAAAGTCACCTGTTATTAGGTTTTGAGGGCTGGCTTTTACAACTAGAAAAACTGTATTAGCAACTGGATAGCCAACTGTGCAACACCAATTACTAACAAGGTGATCCTTTGCTCATGGCTTTGCAATGCCATACATCATAAATCAAGTGTTTATTAATGCACAGGTGTGATTCTGGGCTCTCTTTTCTATTCCTGTTTGTCTATTTCTGCACAAATAACAAACTAATATACTATGCATTTACAGTATGTCTTAATAGCTGATAGAGTGAGTTTTCTCATCAAGATCCACAATAAAACACATTAAGGTTTTCTTGTGATAACACAGAATCCATAAATCTCTTTTGGGAATTTGACATCTGTGGTCATTGGTGAAAATGGCTACAAATTCTTCCTACCCTTGTATGCACATCTCTTTGCTTCCTTTTGCACATTCATGAAGAGGGGGAATCAGTGTCCCCCATCTTTTGAATCTACCTTAGCTTGGTCATGTGACTTGCTTTAGCCAGTGGAACAACAGCAACCATGAAACATGCAGAGATTTGAAAAGTGCTTGTGTATTGAGACTTGCTCTTTTACTGCTTTGGGGAACCCTGAGACCTCCATCATGTGAATAATCTCTGGCTGGCCTCCTGAATGATGAGACACATGGTCCAGTTATCTCCTCACCCTAGCCGGTAGTCAGTTAACCACCAGACATTTCAATGGCGCTGTCAGCCATTAGCAGGTAAGGCCAAAGGAAGAATCACCCAGTTAAGCCCAGTTTAAAAAAAAAATTGCTGCCCCACAGAATCATGAGGTAAATAAATGAATAACAAGAGTTTATCTTGCATTCGAACTGCAATTTAAAAAAAGATGAGAGGCTATCTTCCCCCAACAAAGCAAGAAAGGATATAAAAAAGGAAATATGGAATTGATGGGACAAATATAAAGCACAAAATTTGATTTAAATCTAAATCAGTGATTATAATAGATGTAAATGGATTTGATAGTACAGTTTGAAGACAATAATTAGATGGAAAACTGTTAAAGCTATGTGCTATTTATAATTAACTTATCTAAAATATTGGGACACAGAAAGGTTTAAAATAAAATGGGGTCAGTGGTTTCTGCTAATGGTAGCCTAGGTTATTTGGATCAAGTAATCAATTGAAAGCACTAAAAATGCTGGTTTAAAGAAAAAGCATACTTTGAAAAACACTGAGGACCTGAAGACACAGTGAGAGACCCCCCAAGACCAATTTTAAGTGAAAGCCTGTGACCAGAACTGTAAGAGGGGTATCGGCGCCAAGTCTTTTACGCTCTGAAGGCAACTGCTGACTTTTCAAACACCTGTGCTCTAGTTCTGTCCCACTGGGGCCAGTGTCTTAGCCTGTGTTGTGTTCATTAGGTTCCTGCAGCCTTGATGAGCTGTGCTGACTCTGTCCTAAGGTGGGACATTTCACAATAGTCAATTCGCAATTCTTGAATTGCCAATTCGCAATTTTGGGACCTTCACACACCATCAGCCACTCCACTAATATTCAACACACAGGCAGTAATAAAAGAGAGGTAACAAACCACAATGATGGTTCCAGAGACCAACACATCAACAGATGAGCCAAGGGGTCCAGAAGTCGTTTCGGCCCTGGCCAGCAGAAGCGGGGATCACTGTTTCTCTCTTGCAGAACTTCCAGCAGCTGCTGCCAAAATCAGGAGAATGTTCCACAGTTCTCTCATGGGCAGAGCCTCCGAAGGCCTTTTGAACAAGACCAGGTCCTGGCTGCTTTTATGATCCTCCCAGATGGGTCTGTTCTCTTTATCTCAGCCAACCTTTCATACTGTATCAGTTCATTTCAGGAAATACCGGGCAGCAGCAGGCATGATCGTATCATCTCAGTCCATTATATATAGATGCATATCACTTTGAGAGAGGCAGAACAACTTCACTATGGGCTTCATGCTTTTTGACATGAGTGACTCCATTTTAAGACATTAGGATCACAAGTTATTATGATATATCAGTTTGCTAGGGCTGCGATATTAATACATATTTCTTATTATATATTGGTCTTCTCCCAATATCTGACACACAGCCCCTAAAACCCTTGGAATCTCTAAAGTGATCAGTGTTTTTTCATATGCCAGTAAGATGACTGGTACCTGGAAGCTCCTGGATAACCTCTGCATGTGAGCTGGTTGCCAGGGGAACCAGCCAGTGATTAGAAAATTGGAGGTGAGCCCTATCCCCTCACCTCCAAGGAGGGGAGTGTTTGAAGACGTTCTGGATTGCTGAACACATGGAGTGTGGCTAACCCAGAAGGCATGGAAGCTCCAAGCACCTTGCCAGTACCTTGTCTTATGCATCTCTTCCATCTGGTTGTTTCTGAGTTATAGTCTTTGAAATAAACAAATAATCTAGTAATTAAACTGTTTTCCTAAATGATTTGATCACTTCAGCAAATGACCAAACCCAAGAAGGGAATGTGAGAATCTCTGCTTTAGAGCTAAATCGAACAGAAATTGCCAGTAACCTGGCGACCTAATAGTTGTAATTGGCATCCCAAGTGGGGGCAGCCTTGTGGGACTGAGACCTTCTCACCTGTGGAGTCTGTGCTTACTCTGGTTAGTATCCTAATTGAACTGAATTTTACACCACTCAACTGGTATCAGAAAATTGGTTGGTATGGGAAAAAATCCCACACGTCTGGTGTCAGAAGTGTCCTGGAAGTCAAGTGTGGAGAGTATAGAAGGAACACCATATAGGCTGTCATAACATAGCACCACAGGCTGGGTAGCTTAAACAACAGAAATGTCTTTGCTCACCGTTTTGGAGGCCAGAAGGCAGGTTTGCTTTCCCTTGAGTCTTCTCCCTGTGTTCTTCTGTGACTTTCCTTCTGTGCATGTGCATGGAGGGGGAGAAAGAGACGGCGGGGGGGGAGAGAGAGAGAGAGAGAGAGATCTGGTGTCTTTTCCTCTTCTTTTTTTTTTTTTTTTTTTTTTTGAAACAGAGTCTCAATCTGTCGCCTAGGCTAAACTGCAGTGGCGCAGTCTCGGCTCACTGCAACCTCAGCCTCCCGGGTTCAAGCAATTCTCCTGCCTCAGCCTCCCGAGTAGCTGGGATTACAGGAGCGTGCCACTGCGCCTGGCTAATTTTTGTATTTTTAATAGAGACGGAGTTTCACTATATTGGCCAGACTGGTTTCAAACTTCTGACCTCAGGTGATCCACCCGCCTTGGCCTCCCAAAGTGCGGGGACTGCAGGCGTGAGCCACCACGCTTGGCCTTTTCCTCTTCTTATAAGGACACCAGTCTTATTGGATTAGGTGCCACCCTTATGACCTCACTTAACCTTAATTACCTCCTTAAAGGCCCCATCTCCAAATAGTCACATTGGGAGTTAGGGCTTCAAGATATAAATTTGTGGGAGGGGGAGGAAAAGCATGATTCAGTCCATAAAGTCCAAAGATACAAAGTTTCCAGACCAGGACTTTTCCATATTAGGAGGAGGGGAAAATCTTGTGGATTAAATTGACCTCACCACCCCTCTCCCAGGAGTTAAGGCATTCAGGGTGTGGGTGAACCTGATCTAACCACCCTCCTCCAGTAACTACTGAGAGGGCAGCTTTGGTCCTGTTTAGGCTGGAAGTGGAAGAGAGAAGGAAAATGTGCTGTCCCCAGAGCCTGTGGCCTCAGACCTTCCACCGAGCAGGCTTGTACCTGGAGCTGTCAGACCTTGACTTTGGTTTCAACCATTGCGGGTGGTGGTGTACCAGGTACCTGGCAGAACAAAGCTTAGAGCCTCTCTGATTCAGCATGTACATATCTAGGCCTTAAAGAACTCCATAAATAATTCTTAAAGGTCAATGACCAGAAAGAAGTCAAAGGTTACCTGGAATACAAGAAAATAAGGCAAAATGATAGACTTGCTCCTTTTCCCTACATGCCCAGATTTATTTTCCTTTTTTTTTTTTAAATCCATTAACTTTACTAGACTATGTCTCGATGTTGGCATTCTGGTTTGATGTTCTCAGGTATACAATGTGTTCTCTTTTTTGAGATGAAGTTTTGCTCTGTTGCCTAGGCTGGAGTGCAGTGGCGTGATCTTGGCTCACTGCAACCTCCACCTCCCAAGTTCAAATGATTCTCCTGCCTCAGCCTCCTGAGTAGCTGGGATTACAGGCACACACCACTGCTCCCTGCTAATTTTTGTATTTTTAGTAGAGATGGGGTTTCACCATGTTGGCCAGGCTGGTCTCAAACTCCTAACCTCAAGTGATCTGCCTGCCTCAGCCTCCCAAAATGCTGGGATTACAGGTGTGAGCCACCACACCGGGCCCCAAAGTTTTTTAAAATGTTAGACAGATTCAAATCTTGTTTTTCATTTAAGGAAGACTTATCAAATTGCAGGTTTTTTAAATTTATTCTGTTTGCTGGTTTGGGTTTTCTTGTTCAGGATCTCCTATTATACTTATGTTGAATCGTCTTTGTCTATCTTCAATACATCTTGTTTTCTCTCAAATTCTGTTAACTTCTTTCTTCATTTATTTTTATTTTTAAAATGCTCTCCTTTTTCATCTTTTTCTTGTCACTATCATTACATTTTTTAATTGTGATTCTCTTAGGTATTGTTCAATTTTAATATAGTTTTCCCTTAATTTCTATTTTTCTTTTTTGGCGGTACTCTGTCACCCTTTTTCTGTATTTTTATAATTTTTATTTATATTGTTTTGTGAGCTGTATTAACATCTTTCAGTTTGCTGTTTCTGAATATTGATTATAATTTTTTAACTGTTTTGTATAAATTACTTTTTGGTGTGTTTTCATTATCGGAAAGGAATTTAACCTACTTCTTATTCTCTTTTCCTTATAATAACTTTGTACGGGATTTGACCTAGAGAAAACTTTTTCACTGTTCATTTTTATATACGGTTAGTTTTGCTGAAGCTTTAGTGAGGCATGGTTCAGGATAACTTTCTTAATTTAATGGAGCTCTCTCTTCCACTGTTCTTGTGAAGTCTTCAAAATATATGGTGGCTTGCTTTCTGAGAGCTCCTGCCTCTCATCCCTTTTCTACTTTTTATCTAGACCTTCCCATTTCTTTCTCTATATTCCCCCTGCCTGTTCAATTCAATTCTGTTCTCAGAATAGTCTCCTTCATGTTGTGCCCTATGCTGTTAGGGAACTTGACTGATGAATTTTAAAAGTTCAAGAGGCCCAGGCTGTTTTAGCTTATCTCCGGATAAACTAAGAATGACCTTGCACTCACCTATTATGGGACGGAGCAGAGTTCCTCACAGTTTAAGCTGCTGTTCTCAGATTGTTCCACTGTGCTTTTCATTGAGTACCTATTAGCCATTTTGACATCCTCCTGTTCTCAGATTCATTGGACACCCCACTGTTTCTCTTGGCTTTCTCTCATCCAGACATGAACTCTGTAAGAACTTGTGGCTGTTGGTAATATGCTCCCAGCCACTTATATTTAAAAATTCATGAGGACATCTATCTTTGTTGTCAATGAGTTTTTTGTTTTATTACTTAATGCTTTGTCCAGTTTTACATGGAATTCAGGGAGATTCAAAAATCATGTTGTGGCTATCATTATTTTCTCAGAACTCCAAGTTATTATTTTTGTTATGAAGATGCATTCACCATGAAAACCATCATTTCCTCTTAGGATAAAGTCCTAAATGGTTTTCCCTGACTTACCTTCCCAGTTGTACCTTTATTTTTATTTATTTATTATTCTCATTATTATTACTATTATTTGAGATGGAGTCTCACTCTGTCATCCAGGCTGGAGTGCAGTGGCACGATTTCAGCTCACTGCAATCTCCACCTTCCAGGTTCAAGTAATTCTCTTGCCTCAGACTCCCAAGTAGCTGGGACTATAGGCATGCACCACCATGCCCTGCTAATTTTCATATATTTAGTAGAGATGAGGTTCTGCCATGTTGGCCAGGCTGATCTCAAACTCCTGACCCCAGGTGATCCACCTGCCTCGGCCTCCCAAAGTGCTGGGATTACAGGCGTAAGTCACAGTGCCCAGCCCCCAGTTGTGCCTTTAGTCACTCTTCCCCATCTTCACTAAACTGCGACAACATTGGCCTCGGCTCTGCTGAGATGCCTTCTCTCACACACACTCATCTCTCTTGAATAATTTCAGGTCTGAGCTTAAATGTTATATCCTTATTTCTATTATATACTTCACGTACTTACCCTTTGCAGCATTTTTACCTTTGTAATGATTAACTCATTTTGGAATTACTTACATCTATTTTAAGTTCTTGTGGGCAGAGTCTGCATGACTTTTTTATTCACTGTTGCATCTTTAGAATTTGGCACAGTGGTTCACGCATCCTAAGTGCTCAGTAAATGAGAGATGGAGGAAAGACAAAGGAGAAAACTATCAACTGAATACCTACAAGAGACCTGGCACTCTATATGCATTATTTATGCCTCATAGCACATTGGCAGGGTAGGCATCCTTAGTCCTAGTTTTTGCATAAATATGTGAGGCCCAGAAAGTCTAAGACACACAGCTTATTAGCAATGGAGTCAGGATTAGGACCCAGTACCTGCGTGGCTCTGAGTCTTTCTCCGGGACCTCGTTCCTGATTGCCTAAACTTACCTCTAACCCACTCTGGATCAGTGCAGCTGGACATCAACTCAGGCACTCTCAATAGTCGATTAGAGGTCCCAGTGTAGCTCCTGACCTGGTCAGAATGGGTTTAGGATACGGGAAAGATAGGGACTTTGGGGGCCCCTCTGTAGGATGGGAGAACTGAGGAATAGAGTTCAGAAGGGAAAAATGTCCCTTCCACAAAGCTTTCACTGGGTCACTAACCTGTGAGAAGGACTCAAAAGATGCCCAAGATGGATTCTACCCTTAAAGGGACTGCAGCTTCCTTAGGATGCAGGCTCAACAAGAATAAACCAAAGCACAAGCAACAGTAGGCAGGAATACCGTGATCAAATTAGAGGTTCCAGGTTACAGATGGAACTGTCCATGAGAGCAGAAGAGGCGGTGGAATTTTGTGGCAAAGGCAAGAGTTAGGCTGAGCATTACACAAACATATAATGAGGTACAGTGGTAGATGTAGGGCAGTGATGGCTCTCCAGATGACAACTACATAGACTGGTATGAAGATGATGAGAAACCAAGCCAAGGGCTGGCATGAGAGAGAGTGGGAGACTCAGAGCCAGCCCAGAAGAATTGACCAACTTGCAACTCGGTCAACAGTTCGAGGATTTACTTTCCACTGGGTGGGCAGTTTTAATTGCAGAGAGATGTCTAACTGTGGTCAGATTCAGTTATATGAGTCAGGATTCTCCCAAAACTGGAGCCAAAATTGAGTGCTTGATGCTTACCAGGCTCTGGTATCATAGATAACATATATTATCTCTTATTCTCACACAAGGACTGTCGTCACCCTTTTACCCATGAAGAAACAAGAAGCTCAGAGAAGTGGTGTAACTTTTCCTAAGCTACAAAGACAGCAAGTGTTAGAGCTGGGGCTTAAACCCAGAGAGCTGACTCCAAATACCAAACTCTTTTTTTTTTTTTCTGAGACAGAGTCTCACTCTATCACCCAGGCTGCAGTGCAGTGGCACGACCTCAGCTCACTGCAGCCTCTGCCTCCCAGGTTCAGGTGATTCTCAAGCCTCAGCCTTCTGAGTAGCTCGGATTATAGGCCACACCACCATGCCTGGCTGATTTTTGTATTTTTAGTAGAGACGGGGTTTCCTCATGTTGCTCAGGCTGGTCTCAAATTCCTGGCCTCAAGTGATCTGCCCACCTCGGCCTCCCAAAGTGCTGGGATTACAGGTATGAGCCATCCTGCCCAGCCCAAATGGCCCACTCTTAACCATACTCCTAACCTCTACTGTTAGTTTCCATCTGTGATCTGAGCTTCCTGTCTTTGATGCTATTTAGATGAGGGCTATCACAGTGACTCCTACCTAACTCACAACTTTTATAGAACACAAAGCCCTCAGCTGGGCACGGTGGCTCACGCCTGTAATCTCAGCACTCTGGGAAGCCAAGGCAGGCGGATCACGAGGTCAAGAGTTCGAGACCAGCCTCGCCAACATGGTGAAACCCTGTATCTACTAAAAATACAAAAATTAGCTGGGTGTAGTAGTATGCACCTATAATCCCAGCTACTTGTGAGGCTGAAGCAGGAGAATCACTTGAACCTGGGAGGCGGAAGTTGCAGTGAGCTGAGATCATGCCATTTCACTCCAGCCTGGGCAATAGAGTGAGACTCCATTAAAAAAAAAAAAGAAGAACACAAAGCACTGCCCCATATGTTAACTCATTTGCTCCATGAAGAAAGTGCTGTTTTCATCAATACTAATAGCAACAACCATGACAGCAACTGGTCACACAGCAGTTATGATACACAAGCACAGGCCAACCGCTCAGGGTATGTTGATGCCTTTTCCAGGGTCACACAGCAAGCTGTATAGACCCCAGGGCATCTCCAGGGGCAGTAGCCTTGGGAGTCCAGGGATGGTGGCCAAACAAGTAATGCTGATGACACAACCCAGGCTTTCCTGATTCCTCAGGTAGAGGTTGTGATGTCCCTGCTTGGAATGTTTTGTCCCCCTCTGTTTGAAACCATCGCTGCCCTGGAGAATTACCACCCACGTACTGGGCTGAAGTGGCAGCTGGGGCGCATCTTTGCACTCTTCCTGGGAAACCTCTACACGTTTCTCTTGGCCCTGATGGATGACGTCCACCTCAAGGTAAAAAGCACAACAACTCCACCCCACTGCAACTCCTGGTGCCCATAGTATTTTCTTTTTAAATATAATAATTTCATTATACATAATTTATATTAATTAAATAAATGTTATAAATACAGAAAAATAAAATTTTAAAAAAACTCCCCAGAATCTATGACCCAACGATGACCACTATTAACGTTTTCCTGTAGTTTTTTTCTGTCTTTCTCTCTGGTTGTCTTCTTTCACATCATAAACATGTCATTTGCTACCTTAAATTTTATCTTCAGCCTCTTCCTCACTGTTTCGCAGGTGCCATAAATGATTAACAGCCAAGTAATTGTCCTCTAAGGTGGTGCAATGTCATGGTTGACCTAACCGTTCATCAAAGCTCACCACACAATTATGGAGCACCCACAATGGCAGGCCCTGGGGTAGAGCAGACAGGAGGACACAGGCCTGTCCCAAGTGTGTTCACACTCTGGGCTAGGAGACAGACTTCATTACAGCATGCTGTGGGATGTGCTTCAGTGGGGGCAAGCCCAGGGCAGCATGGCAGCTCATTGGAGGGGCTCCAGATTCCACCCTGGGGACCTTAGCAGACATTGGGAAAGGCAGAGGGAACAGCTGGGTCAACAGGGAACTGCATGATGGCTAACAATGGAGTGGAGCAGAGGAGTGAAAAAAATAGACCACGGGAGAGCCTGATGATACGGATGCCCCTCTTCTCCGCCCCTTTTCTCCTCATTATTGAGCTGTAGGAACATTTTCCTGATGCTAACAGAAAACTGTTCTAAGCATGGAAGTGACTGAATCTGCCCCTAACCTCCCTGCCTTATCTCTGGCTTCACTCCTACCCAGGAGACTGCTCCACCCTCCTGAGCCTCACATTTCTGCCACAGGACAAAATTCTCTCTTGCCTCTCTCTCCAACCCTCTCTTCATGTTTGACTAATTGACTAATCCTCCTTGAGGTTTTGGCCCAGATGTCACTGCCTCCAGGAAGTCTTTTGTGGTCCCCATTGTGTGATGTGGATTCTTCTTCTCCCAGAGAGAATTTCTCACAGTTCATATTGCTCTGTTTTGCAAGTGTCTGTTCATCTCCGTCATTTACTAGACTCTAATCTTTCTGAGCAAAGCTCCATCTCTCTTGGTCACTCCTGTATCACCACTACTTTATATGCACAGAGAGACCCTGAATAAATTATTTTCAAGAGAATAATGAATGACTGGATGGATGCATGAATGGATGGATGAATGCTCGTATGGATGGATGGATGGATGGATGAACAAATGGATGGACGGACAGATGGACAGATGAATGCTGACTTAGAAGATAACTTCATGGGAAAGGCCCAAGGACTACAGCCTCTCCTGTACATATTGAAAGCCTGAGGAGGGAATTTCTGGAAGGACTCTGTCCAGGGGAAGGGCAGAAGCTAGATGGTAGGGTTGTGGCATTTGGTAGCTTTCATTGTTCTTGTGGAAACAGTTGAACCATCCCTGGCTCCTTCCTACCCCACACCTCCATCTTCTGTTCTAGCTTGCTAATGAAGAGACAATAAAGAACATCACTCACTGGACTCTGTTTAACTATTACAACTCTTCGGGTTGGAACGAGAGTGTCCCCCGACCACCCATGCACCCTGCAGATGTGCCCCGGGGTTCTTGCTGGGAGACAGCTGTGGGCATTGTGAGTAGTTGTGTTCTCTGAAAAGGTGACCCCTGTTCTCAGTTCTTTGTTATTCCCTCCTTGATGTTTCCATTTGAGGAATAATCCTGAAAACTTACCAGCTGTTCATCCAGCAAACGTTTCATAATTATCTTGGAGGAAATAAAATGACTAAAGCAGACCGTGTGCCCCCTGGGTACTCCAAATCTCTTTAGTGTCTCAAAGGTTGTGATGGTGTCTGGTAGATATTTTCAATTTAAAAAAAAAAATAGTAAATTATATATATTCTACAAATGCAAAGAAAGCTTTGTCCTTCCGTTTTTGGTCCTTCTCTATATGTCTCTGTGAAAACTCATTTTATTTTCTCTCTATATATATATACTTTTTTAAAAATCCAGGGGCTGGGCACAGTGGCTTATGCCTGTACTCCCAGCACTTTGGGAGGCCAAGGCAGGCGGATCACGAGGTCAGGAGATGGAGACCATCCTGGCTAACATGGTGAAACCCTGTCTCTACTAAAAATATGAAAAATTAGGCACGGCAGTGGGTGCCTGTAGTCCCAGCTACTCAGGAGGCTGAGGCAGGAGAACCGCTTGAACCCAGGAGGCAGAGGTTGCTGTGAGTCGAGATCATGCCACTGCATTCCAGCCTGGGCAACAGGACAATACTCTGTCTCAAAAAAAAAATCCAACTAGCAGGAGGTGAAAAAAGTTAAGCATTGTCCCCAGTGACTGGTGGTCACATTTAGTCTTAGTAGGGGCAGCTGGCACTTCACAGTAAGTGAGGAAGCAAGGCCTTCAGATCCTAGTGATGATAACAATGATACATCGGGCATAGCCAATCTAACAGGCAATTTGCATATGTAATTACTAAGTTTCCCAATAGCCTTTAGAAATTGATATCAATATCAGCTTCAAGAGATTCAGAGATTATTCCAAAGTCATACAATTAGTAATCTGTAGAGCTGGGACCTACACATTTTCCAGAGCCAGGGGTCCCCTCTCTTCACCACCATTCTGCCACAAAGAATCAGAGGGTCACAGAGAAAAAGTCAAGTGGGCGGGGGAGAGTTTATGAGACTCTCAACATACTCTCAGGGAGGGTGGGAGAGGTGGGCAAGGTCTCCACCCACCCCCCTTCCTGTGTTCCTCTGCAGGAATTCATGAGGCTGACGGTGTCTGACATGCTGGTAACATACATCACCATCCTGCTGGGGGACTTCCTACGCGCTTGTTTTGTGCGGTTCATGAACTACTGCTGGTGCTGGGACTTGGAGGCTGGATTTGTAGGTCACCACTTCGTGGACATTCTGCACAGAGGAATTTCAGCCATCCTCTTTGATACTTATAGCCAGATGCATTCTTGGGCATTTCATTTCTTTGGAGGCCTAATGATGGTCTCTGCTCTTTGGAGTAAAAAGTGTTTAATTTGTTTTTCCTTTAAGGGTCCTATTTGCCTTCATAGGGGAAGCTGCGGCTTCCCAATGTAATGAACAATATGACCTTCTATTCTAGGAAATGGAGGCATTTGGCCTAGGGGAAAGTGGACCACACTTGAGTACTGAGCCAATGATTAACAGGGAATTGCCCCTGAGCAGTCTCAGCTCTTATTAGGGAGGCTGAAATCCAACCGTGGAGGTGACTATTTCAGGAAGTCCTGGAACACACCAAGAATACAATAACCACTGGTCCTGTCTTCTGGATGACGCTTTGAGAAACCTCCTTTGACTCGTATTCTCTTACAGCCCTCTTTCCCACCTACCTGGTAGATGTGTATCATTTCCTCTCCTTAGTGGCCTTCTATGATCTGGCAGAACCTCTGGCTCAGGCACCTGTGCCGTACATGTCTCTTCCACGACACCTCAGTGGCCCAGCCTGCAGTCACTGGTGTGCACGCGTGGTACCTACCTCTTACCTGAGCTCCTGGTGAGAGGCTCCATAGGATGTTGACCTATGTAGCCCTCATCCTGGCCTGGCCCAGGTAAGGCCCCAGTACAGGTTTCTGTCGCATTTTTTTTCTTTCAGTCACCAGTCTCAGTTTTAAACAAGTCTACTGAACTCCTCAGCAGCCAGGAAAGCTTCATAATCTTGTCTGAGAACAAAGATGAAAGCCTTTGTGCTCAAAAAGGATGAGATCTTTGGCAGAAACACAAGATATCGCTAAGAGTTCATTGTTCTTAAATTTGTAAGATCACCAAGATACTCAAATAATACTAAAGTTCATTTAAAAAATAAGCATGTGAGAGTATCCAGGAAAAATTATTTAAAAAGAAGAAGAAGGCCAGGTGTGGTGGCTCACACCTGTAATCCTAGCACTTTGGGAGGCCAAAGCAGGAGAACTGCTTGAGTTCAGGAGTTTCAGACCAGCCTGGACAATTTAGCAAGACCCCATCTCTACAAAAAATTAAAAATTACCTGAGTGCGGTGGTGCACACCAGTAGTCCCAGCTACTCAAGAGGCTGAGGCAGGAGGATTCCTTGATCCCTTGATCACACCACTGCATTCCATCCTGGGCAATACAGTGAGACCCTGTCTCAAAAAATATAAAGAAAAAATAAAAAGAAGAATGAAAGGAACTAGACTTACCATAATACTAAAACATATGATAGCACTATAATAACTAAAACTAGTACTAGAGAATAGACCAGCTTGTCAATGAAACAGAATAGAAAGTCCAGAAATAGATACTATCTATATGGGCCTCTAGTTTCTGATAAAAGGAGATTTTCAAACATGCTGGGGGGAAGGATTATTATATATATATATAATAAAAATGTGGGGGACTATATCCCTCATTCATTTTACCTAGATAAATTAATTGTAGTTGAATCACAGTTTTAAACATTAAAAAAATGAAATTATAAGTTTCTAAAAGAAAGCGTGTATGAACTTAGAATCTTGGAGTGAGGAACATTTGTCTAAACAGGACATGCAACCCGGTAGATAAGTGTCTTTCAAACATTTTAAAATATTAAAATTTAAAATTCCAGGCTGGACGCAGTGGCTCATGTCTGTAGTCCCAGCACTTTGGGAGGCTGAGGCAGGTGGATCACTTGAGGTCAGGAATTCAAGACCAGCCTGACCAACATGGTGAAACCCTGCCTCTACTAAGTGTACAAGAATTAGCTGGGCGTGATGGTGTGAGCCCATAATCCTAGCTACTTGGGAGGCTGAGGCAGGAGAATCGCTTGAACCAGGAGGCAGAGGCTGCAGTGAGCTGAGATTGTGCCACTGCACTCCAGCCTGGGCAACAGAGCGAGAGTCCGTCTCAATAAATAAATAAATAAATAAATATCCAAGTCTTTACCCCATGGATGTCTCCTCCTTCCATCTGTTAATGCTGGCCCTTTCTTTTTCTCTTTTCTTATTTCTCATCTCTTCTTGTGTTCTCATTTCCCTTTATCTCCATTTCTGGAAGGTAAACTGGAATGCGGGCTTTGGCATGCTTCATGAGGGCCCCCACATCTTCAGTGCTCACGGATTTTATGTTCTTTCAAATATTGGACAAATCACAAAAACTGAAAATCAGGCTGAAAATATGAACCAAGCTGGTCACTTTCCTTTCCATGAATGGCTCTCAGACTAGAGGAAGAAGAGAAGGAGAAAGATGAGTTGGAAGGATGATTTGGGTTTTGTTTATTTTTAAGCTTTTTTTTCTTTTGACTCCTCACTTAATTATTTGTATTTCATTATTTATTAGATTTTTCATTGATTATAATTTCAAGGTATGTTTCCAATTAAAGCATTGATCAAATGTTCTCTTAGAGGCAAGGGTCTTCCCAAGAACACACTGTCAGCCTGCAAGTCCTGAAAGACAGAAACTCTCACTTTTTTTGTCCAGAATTCCAGTTCTGACATTTTAAAAGTTTCAGCTTTGAGAATGTCAAATTTTTTCTTTAAAAGTTGAAAACATATTAAAAATATAGATGCTAAATCTAAGGTCCTTCTCTAGTTACCAGAGCAGGCTGTTTGGGATGGAGTGGCCTTGGCTTGGCAGTTGGTTGGTAGTAGGGTTTGGCTGACTTCACCAAACATGTTTTCTCTCTCTCTCCCTCCCTCCCTCTCTAGCCTTCATATGCTGAGTTTGATATTAGTGGAAATGTGCTGGGTTTGATCTTCAACCAAGGAATGATCTGGTGAGTTACCCATTTTTCTGGGGATTGCCTCATCTGAGGAATTAAAAAACTGGAATTCCAGATTTTGCAACTTAACTAGTTGGAAGAAGCTGGATACGTCATCTTGCCTCTCTACACTCCCCTCTTTCACGTGAAAAATTGAGGGCGGGACTAGATGGGAAGCAGGATCATTTCTGGCCCACCCGTGTGCTATCATAGAAGTGGTGAGAAAGGGAGAGAGGGGGTTGGGGGAGAAAAGGAAAAAGGAAGGAAGGCAGAAGAGAAGGTGGGGAAGAGAGATGAAAAGGGGAAGAAGGAAGAAAGACAAAGGAAATGGAAAAGGAAGGAGTAAAGAAGGGAGGAGGAAAAGAGGAGGAAAGGAAATAAGGAGAGAGGGAAAAAAGAAGGAAGAGAAGGTGGAAGGTAAAGGACTACAGAACTCCCTCCTCTGAAAAGCAAGTTCAGGGAGGCCACAAAACTTCAGCCAAAGGCCTTTAAGGTGCCAAGGGCTCACTGCTAGCCACCGCTCAATTATCTTGATTGAAGGATTTCAAATACTCTTCTGAGCAGCAATGCCGATTTATGGAAACCAAGGAGAAATAGGCAGGAGACGGTATAATTTGCTGTGGTAAAATCCTGGCCAGAGTTTAAGCCAGGAATGCTCGGAGTGCCTCCCACTCCTGAGGACTACATGGTTCTGGCTTGGTGATCAATATTCTGGTTAAATGGGAGGCCCCTTACCTGGGGACTTGCCAGGAAAGCAGCTCTGCCTCATGCCCCTAACCCATCTATCCCATTTCCTTCTATCACCCTTCCCTCGCCTTCCCTGCTGTCCAGCCAACTGGGTGTTTGGTTTCTGCCCTTCCAGGATGGGCTCCTTCTATGCTCCGGGACTGGTGGGCATTAACGTGCTGCGCCTGCTGACCTCCATGTACTTCCAGTGCTGGGCGGTGATGAGCAGCAACGTACCCCATGAACGCGTGTTCAAAGCCTCCCGATCCAACAACTTCTACATGGGCCTCCTGCTGCTGGTGCTCTTCCTCAGCCTCCTGCCGGTGGCCTATACCGTCATGTCCCTCCCACCCTCCTTTGACTGCGGGCCGTTCAGGTGCAGAGTCTCTGTTGCCCAGGAGCACCTCCCCTCCCGAGGCAGTCTGCTCAGAGTGCTTGGCCCAGAATTCCAGTTATGGTTTCACGCCAGCCTGTAAAGGGCCATGGAGCTTTGGGTGACTCATTGATGCTGTTCAAGAGCTTTTTCTGCCAGGATGGAAATGTTCTGTTGTTCTGTGTCTGTGCTGTCCAATTCAGTAGCCACCAGCCACCTGTGGCTGTTGAGTGCTTGAAATGAGGAACTGAGAAAATGAATTTCTCATGTATTTATTTTCCAAATTTATTTAATAATGTTTAATTGATAGTTGTACGTATTTTGGGAGTACATGTGATACTTGGATACATGTATACAATGTATAATGATCAAATCAGGGTAACTGGGATATTGATCACATCAAACATTTATTTATTTATTTTAGACAGAGTCTCACTCTGTCGCCCAGGCTGGAGTACAGTGGTGCCATCTCAGCTTACTGCAACCTCTGCCTCTCGGGTTCAAGCGATTCTTGTGCCTCCGCCTCCCGAGTAACTGGGACTACAGGCAGGCACCACGACGCCCAACTAATTTTTTGTATTTTTAGTGGAGACAGGGTTTCACCATGTTGCCCAGGCTGGTCTCAATCTCCGGGCCTTAAACGATCCACTCACCTCAGCCTCCCAAAGTGTTAGTATTACTGGCATGAGCCACCATGCCTGACCTAAACATTTATCTTTTCTTTGTGTTGGGAACTTAGAAATTATACAATACATTACTGTGAGCTGTCATCTCCCTGCTGTGCTATGGGACTTATTCCCTCTATGTAACTGTATATTTGTACCAGTTAATCAACCGTGCTTCATCCCTGCTCCTCTCTATCCTTCCCAGCCTCTGGTCACCTCATTCTACTCTCTACCTCCATGAGATCCAGTTTTTTAGTTCCCACATGTAAGTAAGAACATACAATGTTTGTATTTCTGTGCCTGGCTTATTTCACTTAACATAATGACTTCCTGTTCCATCCATGTTGCTGCAAATGACAGGATTTCATTCTTAACTTCAGTTAAAATAACCACACATGGCTAATGGCTACCACATTGGACAGCACAGTTCTATCCTTTAACACATGGATAACTTACTACCTGGGATTACTTTACCATAGGACAAGTAATGGTGGATATTCTGAAGATGAATTATCATAAACTTACATGTGCCATTTAAATGTGAAGCAGCTGCAGAGGACTCTTGACAGACCTCAACTGAACACTCTCTGCTCTCTAGAGCATTGGCCTGGGGGCTCGATATGAGTCAAGCTAGTTAGGAGACTGGATATTGTATAAAAGGACAAATAGTTACGTAAGGAGATAGATCAAGAGATAATGTGCATCTACTGCTATCTTTCCAAATGCATGACCTTCTGAAAACAAAGCCCTCTGCTGACTCCATAAGGAGAGGTTCTGTGGTTAAAGCAGTTTGGGACATACTGCCCCCTCTGCCTGCCATTATCTCACTTAGAAATGCTTGATGCATGCTCCCTTGTTAAAGGCTCTGAAGAATCAGAGGCAATGAAGTAACACCTGTAAGCTAGTGTCTCCATCCTCATTGACCACAGAACCCTTTCTGCATGGATCACTCATACAGGACTGGAAACAGGGTGTGGCAGGTGAGTGGCGCCCTACACCGCACATGAGCAACTCATGAGTAATTGAGGTGCACAATTACTTTCTTCAATTGTGCACCCAAGGCCTCACCTGCCTCACTCTAGCCCCAACCTTGCCTACCAATGAGGAGAAACACTGTTCTGTAAAAGGGTCGTATATGCAAAGCAGTCCCCAAATGCCCAAAGAGCTGAGAACCCAAAGGAGGAAGGAGACAAATGCAGTTTGTCGAGTTTGGGTGATTTATTAGGGGTAACCTACAGACAGAAGCATGGTCGCAAGCAGCGTGAGGCAGGTAGATCTCCACACCTCAATCCCCCAGACCCGGGGCTTTTATCTTGGGGAAAGTATGCGTGCTCTGGAAGGAATGTGTAGGTGGCTCTGGACATCACAGCCTGTGATTTATGCAGCAGCACCAGGGGTTGTTTTGGAGGAAACTTACAGTAAACAAGGGTTCCTACATAAAGAGAAATACATCCATCCACTAGACGTGTGGGAGGCACTCCCAGTCTCGGGGTTAGTTAGAAGTTACCAGGCAGATTAGCATGTAAAGTCAAGTCACTCATGTCCCCCACAAGCACACCTTGAGAAACGCTGATCTGGTCCTTCTCAGTTTCTAAGGGACTTACCTAGATAGAGGCCTGTGATGGTCGGAGCCCAGCGATGTTAGCAGGAGCGCTCCAGCAGTGCCACCTGGCAAACAGGGTTCACACAGAAGGAGGGGATCAGTCTAGAGAAGGAGCGTGTGGAAGTGCAGACAGCCTGAGATGCCAGGCTGAAGGGAGAACCGCATGGAAGAGGCCTCTCTTGGCTTCCTCCTAAACAAGGTTTGGAGGGCTGGGCCCTGGGTTTATTCTTAGGAATTCAAAACCTAATGGAGGCCAGATGCAGTGGCTCATACCTGTAATCCCAGCACTTTGGGAGGCCAAGGAGGGCAGATCACCTGAGGTCAGGGGTTCAACAAGACCAGCCTGGCCAACATAGGGAAACCCCATCTTTACTAAAAATACCAAAATTAGCCGAGTGTGGTGGCAGTTGCCTGTAATTCCAGCTACTCAGGCTGAGGCAGGATAATCACTTGAACTCAGGTGGCAGAGGTTGCAGTGAGCCGAGATCACGCCATTGCACTCCAGACTGGGCAACAGAGCAAGACTCCGTCTCAAAAAAAAACCAAAAAACAAAAAAAACCCTAATGGAGCTTGGCTGACTGGATTTCAAAAATTGCTTGAGATTGGTGATTCCTTTCTTCCTTCCATTTCTCCTTTTTGGTATTGTAATGTGTATAACTGTCATCCTATGCCTGCTCCAGGTTGGTTTCAGCCCAGTGAAACCCTTTCAGACTCCTGGCCTCCAGAACTGTAAGATACTAAATTTGTATTGTTTTAAGCTACAAGCGTGACAAACAGCAGGTACTGGAATCTGATACACACCATCTAATTCAACAACAAAATAATCTACACTCGACTGTCACATAAAAGCCTAACATGTAAAGTTCACTTTTCTTGTTCTTACGTGGTGAGTATGCCCTGGTAATAATAATGATAATAAATGAAACATCGTGATACAGTGATGTGCCCGGCACTTGAAATCCTGTCATGTTATAAGAGGATCATTGCAATTTGTGGTATGCTGGGCAACAGTTGTAAGGCATGAGAGAGCCACAAATGGTCTCTGACACAACTGCTCTTCTCTGTCATTATAGCACAAAAAATGAATGAGCTGAAAACTTTATTTACAGACACTAAAATTTTAATTTTATACTTCAATTTTTACATGTCACAAAATAGTATTCCTGTTTTGATTTGTTTTCAGCTACTTAAAAATGTAAAAATGATTCTTAGCTCACAAACCATATGAAGATAGGTGACAGGCCAGGCACAGTGGCTCATGCCTGTAATCCCAACACTTTGGGAGGCCGAGGTGGGCAGATCATTTGAGATCAGAGGTTTGAGACCAGCATGGGCAACATGGTAAAACCCCGTCTCCACAAAAAAACACAAAAAATTAGCAAGGCATGGTGGTGCGCACCTGTAATCCCAGTTACTGGGGAGGCTGAGGCAAGAGAACTGCTTGAACCCAGGGGTGGAGGTTGCAGTGAGCTGAAATTACACCACTGCACTCCAGCCTGGGTGACAGAGTGAGACTCTGTCTCAAAAAAAAAAAAAAAGAGAGAGAATGATTGTCTACGTGTCTCACAAGTGATCAACGGGAGAGCAAGGATTTAAGCTAGGAATTTCAAACCCCACAGTCCACCTCTTGGCACCAAAATTACCAACCAAGAGCCAGCAGCATCCAGGAGTCTCTGGGCCGGCATTTGTAGAAGTAAATCTGCCTTATGCTTCTTAAGTATTTAAAGAAAATAAAAATTACAGTTGCGAACTGTCCAGGAGCCTGTCCTAGGTAATCCAATATCTCCTAGACTTACAATCTGAAGGTTAATTGTAGGCGTTTCTGAGAGACACTCAGGTTGTCCAGCACATCATCCTCTGCAGAACTGTTTCCAGACCCAAAGGAAGCTCCATGTTGGTCTGGTAGCTACAAACACAGGCAATTTCTCCCATTAGAATATATGAGAAAACCCATTTTTTTCTGGCTGAGGAAGGTGTCAGGCACAAAAGACCAGTGAAGGCTAAGAGGTTATAAGTTACTTAGGATAGAAAGCTCATGAGCCAGTATGCCAACACAATCATCAACCCTCGCCAGAATGGCAGTCCCTCAAGGGGAATTTTTCACTCGCGGTTCATTTGGAGCAGAGCTCTGGTTCTTCCAGGAAAGCAGTGGGAGCAGCAGCCCTGGATCTGAGGGGGCGTGGACACAGTTGTGAATGCCACGGGCGCTCTGCAGCATGTTATAATGTGTCCTCTCCATTTTCCAGTGGGAAAAACAGAATGTATGATGTCCTCCAGGAGACCATTGAAAATGATTTCCCAACCTTCCTGGGCAAGATCTTTGCTTTCCTCGCCAATCCAGGCCTGATCATCCCAGCCATCCTGCTGATGTTGTAAGTTAGCCAGGACCCATGGCTCCACCCCACGGAAACCTCTCCCTGAATTCTAGACTTCCTTGGCAGGTCCTTTTCATCTTGCCTTCTTAGTCTGCACTCTCCAGAAGCAGACTCATGATGAGGATTTAAGTGCAAGTATTTTATTGGGGAGTGGGTAGAACTTCAGACAGGGAAGGGAAAGAAAGTGTGTGGTTATCACTGTAGGAATTCTGGAAGGCAGTGTGCCTCAGAGTTACCCCTCCCTAAGTGTGGAGGATTCGGGGCATTTGTAGACCAGCTCCCAGCAGCATTCCTGGGTAAATGGCTTCAGGGGGTGTCAGTGGAGGGTCCAAGATGAAGGGGAAGCTTCTGGTAACAGAGATGAAGGCACCATCAAGTGCAAGTCTTTTGGAGCACACTGAAAATTTGGGTGAGCTCTGACAGTATCTGCAACTACTCCCGTTAAAATGCTCACTAGAAATATCAGAGAACTGTGGGCTCTGAGCCTCTCAGGAAGCTGAACAGTGATTTGGCCTGACCCTAGCTGGGCCCACAGCAGTACTCGATTGAGCAGCTTATGCACTGGAACAAGCTGGTTCCTTCATCACCGTCACCCTCAACAACTGGTAAAGTCCTGAGGATAGAAAACGAGTTTGAAAATCTCTGTATCCCCACCGCCAGCCTAATGCCGACAGCATAGCTGGCAAACAGTAAATGCTCAAGGAAGGAACTAGGGAAGAAAAGCAGGAAGCCAGAGTCTTGGATTGGAATTGCTGTCGTCAAAAAATGTGCTAGTAAAAATGTTAGCATTTTTCTTTAGAAAAAACATTTTGGCATGCTTTTTTTAAAATTATGAAATATTCCCAGCATACAGATGAGTAGAGATAGTGTACACTCCTGTACACTATCACAAGAATAAACAGATGTTAACATTTTGCAATATTTACTTCAGGTTTATCTTTCTTTGTAACAGAAATAAAACATTGCAGATACACTTCGAGACCCATCCAATCCTTCTTTCTTCCTCCCTCCCCAAAGGTAACTGAATAATATATTCAGACTAGATTTCATTATTTCCGTGCATATTTTGTACTTTTAATCACATGTGTATATACTACTGTTTCAAGACTTTTAAACCTTTTCACGAATGGTTCACATTATATGCTTTTCCTCAATCAACATATTGAGGGGATTTATCCATGTGGATACATGAGTACACGTTTGAAGGCTCTCCTATTTTCCGTTGCATGAATAAACCACAGTTTATCCATTCCTCTGCATAGGGATAGTTAGGCTGTTTCCACTTGGGGGCTGTTGCAAACTGCGCTCCAGCCAACATTTTGTACATATCTCCTTCAACAATCTAGAGGCAGAATTGTAGGTCACAGGCATGTGTTTCTTCAATCTTTTTAGATTTTACAGAATTGCTCTCCAAAGTGGTTGTATTTCCCTTTGACTATTATTTATAACTTCCAACTCTCTGGTGAAATTCTCCAACTTTCTATTTTCTTGAACATAGTGATTATAATTATTTTTAAAATCCCAGCCTGATATTCCATTATCTGGGCCACTTAGGTGTATTTTTGTTGTCATTTGTTTTCCTCTTATCATCGGCCCTAATTTTAGCATGGCATGTAATTTTTACTAGATTCCAGACATGTGGATGAAAAATTATAGAGGCTATGAATAATATTATCTTTCCTCAAAGGGATGGGTTTTTTTTCCTGAAAGGCAAATGGAATACTAGATCGCTTAATCCTGTCAAGGCTTGATGTTTTAGCTATCTATTATTACATAAGAAACAACCCCAAAAACTGAAAAATAATATTTTATTAATGAATCTGCAATTTAGGTACGGCTTAGTGGGAATCATTCTTTTCCTCTCTACTCAACTTCCTCTGGGTCAGCTCAGCTGGAGGCTGGAGGGGCCACTTTTTTTTTTGAAAGGTCCACTTTCAAGATGGTCATTCACAGCCAGGCGTGGTGGCTCACACCTGTAATCCCAACACTTTGGGAGGCTGAGGCCAGCAGATCACAAGGTCAAGAGATCGAGACTATCCTGGTCAACGTGGTGAAACCCTGTCTCTACTACAAATATAAAAATTAGCTGGGCATGGTGGGACACTCCTGTAGTCCCAGCTACTCAAGATGCTGAGGCAGGAGAATCACTTGAATCCAGGAGGCGGAGGTTGCAGTGAGCCAAGATTGCTCCACTGCACTCCAGCCTAGTTACAGAGCAAGACTACATCTCCAAAAAAAAAAAAAAAAAAGATGGTTGCTCACATGACTGGCCAGTTGGCACTGGCTGTCAGCTGGGAACTCAACAAGCGCTGTGGACTAGAGGCCTCAATTCCTTCCCACAAGCTGATTACTGGGCTTCCTCATAGTATGGTGGCTGAGTTTCAGGAGCAAGCATCCCAAGAGAATGCAATGGATATGCATGGCATCTTTACTTACTCCCGACATACTCTATTGAGGCAATCACAAAGGGATACCCAGGTTCTAGAGAAAGAAATATAGACTCATCTCTTGATGAGGCAATGGCAAGATTCTGGAAGCACATGTATGATGGAAGTCATATTATTGTGGCCATCTTTGGGAAACAGTTTGCTATTGCTCGATTTGGGCTTTCTCAGGGCTGATTTATTTCAGTTTTGCCCTATTTCCAAGACACTGACCTTACTCCTACAATGTGATCCTTACTATTGAGCATGGTCTTTTAGGGATCTCAAATGAAAGCCTACGGTGTTTACCAATTCCCTCCACCTTGGCAGGACTTAAAGCTCATTCTCTCTTTTCCCAATTCTGCAGTTTTTACTCACTCTCTTTCTCCAGTAGTACTGCTACAGCCACTGTGAAATCTCTCCTCTGCTCTTCAGCCTCCCTGGTGTCATTTTCTTCTGGGTTTCCTGAAGCAATTGAAGAATTGGTCAACCATTTGAGGGTAATTTGTATGCAGAGTTTGGCTTATTTATCTGCAATTTGTTCTTCTCTGGGATTCTGTCCCTCAAGTCCTATAGGGTCCAGCCCTACTGCTTCTAGTGGGTGTTCTCTATGGGTGCAGAGACGAGAGATTGTAGAAATAAAAACACAAGACACCGAGATGAAGAGGAAAAAACAAATTTGGGCCCAGGGGTCCACTGCCACCTAGTACGTGGAGTCTGGTAGTGGCCCCGAATGCCTGTACACTCTGACTTTTATTAGGTGCAAAACAGGGGAGCGGGGCAAGTAGGGTGAATCTTCAAACAGATCACGTGTCTACGGAACAAGGGGCCCAGGGCTTTCAAGTAGCCAAACAAGGGGGCAGCGAGATGCATCAGCACTTTATGTTATGCTTGCCAAGTAAGAACAAGGGCTTCAAGATTTATGCTACTTCTTATTATCTTCAAAAGAGGAACCAGGTGCAGAAGTAGGGAGTGAAAGCAGACACAGACTGTGGCCAATACAGCACAGCACCACATAAAGACAATTAATCCCCCAGGTAGCTGTGGGTTGGGCTGATTGATATCAGTCTTTCCACAAGAGCCCAGGGGAGTGGCATGTTCTCCAGCTCACCCAAGGACAGGAGATGTTCCCTTACAAGGTCTGCTGAGTAGCGAGCGGGTGCTTCCCCAAGCACTGGCGCTACCGCAGAGATTTCAGATGCCCTCCAGCAACTCTTACGTGGGTGTGACAGAGGGCTTGGTTTCGGCATTCAATAGGTTGTCTCTGCTGATTTGTTCACAGGTATTAATGCTTTTGCCTCATGGCCACAGTCATAGTGTCTCCTATCAGTCCCTGACCACAGCAACCTGAAGTCCCTAAATAATTATGCATAAAGTACAAGAGGACTTTAATCAAGGCTTAATATTCAGTAAGACTAATATCACTCTTGATACTTAATATTCAATAAGACTAATATCTAATCACTCATGATACTTATTCCTAACTAGACTCTTCTTTCTACATTTTATTTATTAGACAGGAACTAGCTGAGGCTTCAGTCTCCTGCTTCGGCACTTATGAGACTTTCCTCTCACAAAGTCCCAAAGACTGGCAGTAATTAACTTTTACCTGCGTCTTCTCCACATTCTAAGATGTCCACTTTCTGCTTGGACTCTGTTTCTGGGTCACAAATTGGAAAATACTCTGAGGGAGAAACCCTGGAGGAATGAGGCGCTCACCTCACATGCTTCCCTTCCCTCAAGCATCAAGCCCCTTTAGTCTACCTGTCTAGTCACTCTCCCATGTCTTAAACTACAGTTTTGTAAATTTTGCTCAGCATTTACAGTTGTTTTTCTCTGGAGAGCTGGACCAATGCAAGTCCCTCAGTCAAGACCAGAAAAAGGAGTCTTTCCTTTCTTTGCTCATTTCTTTCTTTTCTTCTTTCCTTTCTTCCTTTCTTTGAGTTTCCGCAGAGTCAGATTGCCTAGCACCAAAACAACAACAAAAATAATCTGTGATCATTTTCGTTAGAATTCAGAAAGAAGGCCTGGCGCGGTAGCTCACACCTGTAATCCCAGCACTTTGGGAGGCTGAGGCAGGCAGATCACCTGAGGTCTGGAGTTTGAGACCAGCCTAGCCAGTATGGTGAAACCCCGTCACTACTAAAAACACAAAAATGAGCCAGGTGTGGTGGTGTGCGCCTGTAATCCTAGCTACTTGAGAGGCTGAGGCAGGAGAATCCCTTGAACCCAGAAGGCAGAGGTTGCAGTGAGCCGAGATCATGCCACTGCACTCCAGCCTGAGCAAGAGAGTGAGACTCTGCCTCAAAAAAAAAAAAAAAAAAAAAAAAAAAAAAAATTCAGAAAGAATTGGCACACTTACCATGTTAAGTTTTCCAATCCAGGAATACTTTATTCTTTATCATTTGTTCATTTATGTCCTTCAATAATATTTTTAAGTTTTCTTCATAAATTTCATGCACATTTCTTATTAAATTCCTCTGCATTTCATCTTTTTGTTTTATACTAAATTAGAATGGCTCTTCCATTATACTTTCTAAACTAGTTTTTGTTTTTTTATATAAATGTTATTTATTTTCTATATATATATTTTGTATTTAGCCAGGTGCAGTGGCTCACACCTGTAATCCCAGCACTTTGGGAGGCCAAGGCAGGCAGATCACAAGGTCAGGAGATCAAGACCATCCTGGCTAACACAGTGAAACCCATCTCTACAAAAAAAAAAAAAAAAAAATTAGCCAGGTGTGGTGGCACACACCTGTAGTCCCAGCTACTTGGGAGGCTGGGGCAGGAGAATTGCTTGAACCCGGGGGGCAGAGGTTGCAGTGAGTCAAGATCTTGCCACTGCACTCCAGCCTGGGTGACAGAGCAAGACTCTGTCTCAAAAAAAAACCCGATATAGTTAGGTTTTGTGTCCCCACCCAAATTTCATCTTGACTTGTAATTCCCATAATCCCCACATTTCAAGGAAGGGACCAGATGGAGGTAATTGGATCATGGAGGCAGTTTTTCCCATGATGCTGTTGTCATAGTGAGTAAGTTCTCACAAGATCTGACGGTTTCATAAGGGGCTCTTCCCACTTTACTCAACACTTCTCCTTCCTGCCACTTTGTAAAGAAAATACCTTGCTTCCCCTTTCACCTTCCACCATGATTGTTAGTTTCCTGAGGCCTGCCCAGCCATGATGAACTGTGAGTCAATTAAATCTCCTTCCTTTTTAAATTACCCAGTCTTGGGTAGTTCTTTACAGCAGTATGAAAACAGGCTAACACAGCCACCCTATGAGTGTATTGTTTATAATATTTATTCAACCAAAGTTCTTGAATTTTCCAGGTCATTTTCTCATTTGTAAACAATGAAAATGTTATATTTTATTTAATTCTTAGATATATTTTTTCTCTGTAGGATTAATTAGTACCTCCCAGGGGAAGAAAAGTCAATTTATATTTGGTGATAAAATATACTTTTGCCCCAGGCGCAGTGGCTCACACCTGTAATCCCAGCACACTGAGAAGAGAGCATAAGACTGTAGGACACCCACCCCCCACCCAGAGGCAGACCTGAAATTCCAGGAATTCTGCCTTGATTCCAGGAATCCTGCCTTGATTCCCCAAGAAAGGCACCCTGCTCCAGTCATCTGCCAAGATCACAGAACCATAGGAGGCATGTTTTTCTCTTGCAGCCTGGCCATTTACTACCTGAACTCAGTTTCCAAAAGCCTTTCCCAAGCTAATGCCCAGCTGAGGAAGAAAATCCAAGCGGTGAGTCTGTTGGGAGTTTCATCCTGGAGGGTTAAAAAGAGATCATGTTTTTGGTTTTTGCTAATTTGCTCTTGCTCCCAGCTGTGTTATCTAAATGACTTTCTTCTAAACCAAATCCCAAATATCTGTATTATAGGAAGTAGACTTGTGAGATTCAGTAGCAGGCATTTATATTATTGAGGCTATTTGGCGATGTGTGACAATATGACTTAAATTTCAAGGGGTTGCTAAAGAACAGAAGAAACTCAGTGAGTTCAGCCAATGCTCATACAGAAAAAGCCAATACCCACAATAATTCCTAAAAATTAAAGTGAATATTTAAATACTAAAGGAAATATTATTGTCAAAATGGCATATTTCTTGTGCTCCTTAGCCGAAAAGAGCTCCTGAATTCCCTTCACACCTGGGAAGCCTCTCTCAGCATCTCAGCTGACACCCTACTTCTGACTGCTCTCTACACACACACACACACACACACACACACACACACACACACATACACACACCCTAAAGGTCAGACCCTAACCCTCCCTAACCCCTGTTCTTGCTTTCTCTGTACCTCTTCTGGAATGAATCTCATCTGTCTTGCTGCTGGTCCCTGCCATCCACACCTTCTTCTGTTAATCTCCCCGGGCTCCTGCCCAGGTATAGAAAACCATTGAAATACAGGATTGAAAGGGTTGCTGTCCTCTGGTTACAGATTTCTTCAATCGCTGTGTGAATCTGAGAGCCTCAGGCTGCCCTCTCAATCAGTTGTGAGGACCAGTAACAGGCAGTTTAAAGTAGTCACCAAGAACTGAAAACAGGCTGGGTGCAGTGGCTCATATCTGTAATCCCAGCACTTTGGGAGGCCAAGGCCAGTGGATTACCTGAAGTCAGGAGTTCAAGACCAGCCAGGCCAACATGGTGAAACCCTGTCTCTACTAAAAATACAAAAATTAGCCAGGCGTGGTATGGCGCACCTGTAATCCCAGCTACTCGAGAGGCTGTGGGCAGGAGAATCACTTGAACCCAGGAGGCAGAGGTTGCAGTGAGCCAAGATCATGCCATTATACTCCAGCCTGGGAAACAAAGTGAGACTCCATCTCAAAAAAAAAAAAAAAAAAAAATTCACTCAGCACCTCTGAGCCTCAGACACCCATTTCCTTGGCCAGGACCAATAGTTCATTATTTCCTGCAGCTCCGTGAAGTTGAGAAGAGCCACAGGTCTGTCAAAGGCAAAGCCACAGCCAGAGATTCAGGGGATACACTGAAAAGCAGCTCCAAAAATACCACCCAGCTCCAACTCACCAAGGAAGGTAAGCCCTTTGTCATGATGATTATGTTTTACAAGGCCACATGGCAAGGTGTAAAGAGCCTATGAAACAGTGTGAAATTAGACTGTTCTGGGATTGAAATCAGAATCTTAACGATGATTAGCTTATGAAATTTGACAGGTGAATATTGGGGTCAATCATAGCAGCTGCGTCATGGGATGGTGAAGCTGAGATGAAATCATGCATGTAAAGTGCCTACCAGAATTCCTGGCACAGAGAATGAGCCAATGAATACCAGCTGGCAGTGGTGCTGTCATGCACCCCTTAATACCATTGGGATCAACCATGGACTGCATATAAAACGGTGGTCCCATAAGATCATAATGGAACTGAAAAATTCCTATTGCCAAGTGACGTAGCTGTCAACATCATAGCAAAACACGTTACTCATGTCTGTGGTGAGCTGGTCTAAACAAGCCTACTGAGCTGCCAGTTTTAGAAAAGTCTAGCACATAAAAATTATGTATGATACAGAATACTTGACAGTGATAATGTTACTGGCTTATATGTTTACTATACTATACTTTTTATTATTATTTTAGAGTGGATTCCTTCTACTTATATAAAAAAGAGTTAACTGTAGAACAGCCTCAGGCAGGTCCTTCAGGAGGTATTCCAGAAGAAGGCACTGCTATCATAGGAGATGACAGCTCCATGTGTGCCATTGCCACTGAAGACTTTCCAGTGGGACAAGATGTGGAGGTGGAAGACCATGATAATGAGGGTCCCAACCTTTTGTAGACCTAGGCTAACGTGTGTGTTGTGTCTTAGTTTTTTAACAAGAAACATTTAAAAAGTAAAAAGAAAAAAAAATTCTTAATTTGGCCAGGTGCAATGGCTCATGCCTATAATACCAGAACTTTTGGAGGCCTAGGTGGGCGGATCATGAGGTCAGGAGTTTGAGACCAGCCTGACCAACATAGCGAAACCTCATCTCTACTAAAAATATACAAATTAGCTGGGCATGGTGGCACATGCCTGTAATCCCAGCTACTTAGGAGGCTAAGGCAGGAGAATTGCTTCAACCCTGAAGGCAGAGGTTGTGGTAAGCCGAGATTGCACCACTGCACACAAGCCTGGGCAACAGAGTGAGACTCTGTATGAAAATAATTTAAAAATAGAAAAAGCTTATCAAATAAGGATATAAGGAAAAAATATTCTTGTACAGGTGGTCCATGTATTTGTGTTTCAAGTCAACTGTTATTATAAAAGAGACAAAATGTTTTTTAAAATTTTGAAGTTTATAAAGTAGGCCGGGTGCTGTGGCTCACGCCTATAATCCCAGCACTTTGGGAGGCCAAGGCAGACAAATCATGAAGGGGGTGGAGACCATCCTGGTTAACACGGTGAAACCTGTTATATTCTAACAATACAAAAACTTAGCCGGGTGTGGTGGCACATACCTGTAGTCTCAGCTACTCGGGAGGCTGAGGCAGGATGATCGCTTGAACCGAGGAGGCAGAGGTTTCAGGGAGCCAAGATAGCACCACTGCACTCCAGCCTGGGTGACAGAGTGACACTCCGTCTCAGGGGAAAAAAAAAGGTTATAAAGTAAAAAAGTTACAATAAGCTAAGGTTTATTTATTATTGAAGAAAGAATATATATTCTCACTCTGTCACCAGGCTGGAGTACAGTGGCATGGTCTCAGCTCACTGCAACTTCCGCCTGCTGGGTTCAAGAGATTCTTTTGCCTCAGTCTCCCAAGTAGCTGGGATTATAAGCACGTGCCACCACACCTGGCTAATTTTTTGTATTTTTAGTAGCGACGGGGTTTCACCATGTTGGCCAGGCTGGTCTTGAACTCCTAACCTCATGATCCACCCATCTCGGCCTCCCAAAGTGCTGGGATTACAGGCGTGAGCCACCATACCTGGCCTAGAAAAAGCTGTTATAAATTGAGTGTAGACTAAGTGCGCAATGTTTATAAAGTCTACAGTAGTGACAGTAGTGTCCTAGGCTTTCACATTCACTCATCACTCACCCACTGACTCACCCGGAGCAATTTCCAGTCCTGCAAGCTCCATTCATGGTCAGTGCCCTAGACAGGTTTACCATTTGTCATCTTTCATATACTGAACTTTTCTATGTTTAGTTACACAAATGTTTACCATTATGTTCCAACTGCCTACAGTATTAGGTACAGTAAGTTTTGTGCAGGTTTACAGCTTAGGAGCAATAGGCTAAATCATATAGCCTAGGTGTCTAGGAGGCCATGCCATCTAGGTTTGGGTAAGTACATTCAGTGATGGTCACACAACAACAAAATCACCTAATGACACATTTCTCAGAATGTATCCGTGTCCTTAAGCAACGAGTGCTATAGTTTATACTCTCTGAAAAGAGAAGCACTGGAGTATCTAGGATGAAAGAGCGAGAAAAGTCCGCATAAAAAGTTCCCAAAAACGTGTCTTGGGGCTATTGCTCCTCTGCCTTTTGGCTAAGAACAAGTGAAAGTGTCCTGGGCTTCAAAGGGGAGTGATCATAGGCCACCTCAAACTGTCACTGCAGTGAGGAAAGGTCAAGTTGAAAGAGACCATCTCTGAGGTGATCCCATTTTCCAAAGATCATTTCTGTTTTAAAATTAAACAGTGTCAGCATACAGACACTTTACACTTGGATGTGAGAAGTGAATGAGATGCATAAGAAATGACTCTGACAGTTTAAGAATTTGAAGTTTTTGTTTTTGAGACGGAGTCTCACTCTGTCATCCAGGCTGGAGTGCAGTGGTGCGATCTCGGCTCACTGCAACCTCCGCCTCCCAGGTTCAAGCAATTCTGTTCAGCCTTCCAAATAGCTGGGATTACAGTCACCTGCCACCATGCCTGGCTAATTTTTGGATTTTTAGTAGAGATGGGATTTCACCATGTTGGCCAGGCTGGTCTTGAATTCCTGACCTCAAATGATCTGCCTCAAACAGCCTCCCAAAGTGCTGGGATTATAGGCATGAGCCACTGCACCCAGCCTGAACTTCTTTATTTTTTTGAGATGGAGTCTTGCTCTGTTGTCCAGGCTGGAATGCAGTGGTGCAGTCTCAGCTCATTGCAACCTCTGCCTCCCAGGCTCAAGCGATTCTCCTGCCTCAGCCTCCCCAGTAGCTGAGACTACAGGCACCCACCACCAAGCTCGGCTAATTTTTGAATTTTGAGTAGAGACAAGGTATCAGCATATTGGCCAGGCTGGTCTCGAACTCCTGACCTTGTGATCTGCCCTCCTCAGCTTCCCAAAGTGATGGGATTACAGGCGTGAGCCACCGTGCCCAGCCCTGAACGTTTTTTTTTATACGAGCATTCCAATTTCTTCGTAACTGAAATTTCATTTATTTTTATTATTTTTGAGTATTAGCTATAATAAAATGATACTAGCTGCTGCAACAAAGAGGCACAAAATAGCTAGCAGCTCAGACACAATGAAAGTTCACTTCTTGGCTGGGCACAGTGGCTCACACCTATATAATTCCAGTACTTTGGGAGGCCGAGGTGGGTGGATCATGAGGTCAGGAGATCATCCTGGCCAACAAGGTGAAAACCCTTCTCTACTAAAAATCCAAAAATTAGCTGGGTGTGGTGGTGCATGCCTGTAATCCCAGCTACTCAGGAAGTTGAGGCAGGAGAAGAATCAGGGAGTCAAAGGTTGCAGTGAGCCGAGATTGCACCGCTGCACTCCAGTCTGGGCAACAGAGACTCCTTCTCAAAAATGAAATAAAATAAAATAAATAAAAGTTCACTTCTCACTCAACACAAAGTCCACGTTGGGTGTTTTCACCTGACAGCCATGAGTGCTGATATGAAGACCTTGGCTCCTACCATCTTGGGGCTCAGCCTGCAACAAGCTAATGCAAGGGGAAGAGTCTAGGGGACACATATGAATGTGGTCCCATCACAGCCTGAAACTCCAGCCCAGGCCACACTTATCCACAAGGGAACCAAAGCCATTTCCGTGTCCCAGAAGAAGAGGGACTGGGTTTGGTAAGGAGCAGTCATTGTCCCTAACTTGGAGTTAGGGGAGGGGAAGGAAACAATGAAGGACTGGAAAGTAGATCTGATTGCAAACAATTCCCACGGCCCCTTCCCTTCCATCATCACATTCGACCCTGGCAGTCAGCCTGTGAGGCTGCTGTTATTCCTGTCCCAATTTTATACCCTAGAAAACCCAGGATCAGAGTCTAGCCTAAGGTCAGGTTCAAAATCAAGTTCTCCAGCCAGCAGACCATACTCCTCCAACAGATGTGTTTATGCAAAAGCCAGGCCAAGGTCACCCTGAGACAGCTGAGCGCAATCCGACACCTCTCGCATCACCAAACAGGACTAAAACCTACACATACCACAGGGCGGCTCTGGAGAGCATCAGCTCAGCCTGCATCAAATCTCCCACTTCCTCTTTCTTGTCTTGGTTCGTTTTCCAGAGACCAGTCCTCCCTCTGCCAGCCAAAGCCAGGCCATGGACAAGAAGGCGCAGGGCCCTGGGACCTCCAATTCTGCCAGGGGGACCATGTTGCCTGCCTCTGGACACCTTCCTACATCTCGGCCCCCTGGAGTCAGAATAGATTCTGGCCACCCCCCATCTCAGACTCATCTGTGGAGGTCAGCCTCTGGGAAGAGTGCTCAGAGACCTCCCCACTGATGGCTGGGACTCCAGTAAGCCCCGATCTTGGGGCTGATCCTCGAGTTCCCCAGTTTCACACACACCAAACCAAGGTTCTCTCCTTTCTTTCCTCTCACATACATGCTCTCTCTCCTCTCTTGGAATGTGAGAACTTTGATTCAGTCAGGCCCTTGTCAGCTACAAAAGGAGGAAGACAGTGGCTTCACCTGTCCTCCAGGGAAGCTGGAGCCATCTCTGCACCAACTGCCCTCCACAATATCTTGGTTCAGACAGTTCTGAACCCCACACTCACAGTGGTCCACCTTGACTCCAGACTTTGGGAGTTGGGGAAGGGCCATGACCACCCTCGTAGACTTTTTCCATGGGACACAGTTAGGGACACAGGTTTCTGCCAGCTCCCTTAACTTGGAGGGGGATGCAGAAGGGCCTACGTTTCTCAATCCAGAGAAAGTGAGCCGGGCACAGTGGCTCACACCTGTAGTCCCAGTACTTTTGGAGGCCAAGATGGGTGGATCGCTTGAGCCCAGGAGTTCAAGACCAGACTGAGCAACATGGTGAATCCCCATCTCTAAAAAAAATACAAAAATATTAGCTAGGTGTGGTGCCGCACACCCCGTAGTCCCAGCTACTCAGGAGGCTGAGGCAAAAGGATCACTTGAGCCCAGGAAGCAGAGGTTGCAGTTAGCTAAGATCATGTCACTACACTCCAGCCTGGGCAACAGAGTGAGACCCTGTCTCAACAACAACAACAACAACAAGAAATCTGGCCAAGCACAGTGGCTCACACCTGTAATCCCAACGCTTTAAGAGGCCGAAGTGGGAGGCCAGGGGTTTAAGACAAGCCTGGGCAAGATAGCAAGACCCTTGTCTCTACAATTAAATAAACAAACAAACAAATAAAATGTCCAAGAAGTGAATGAAAATAAAGGTAAATGGACCAAAGACCAGTCATGGTGAGTGAGGAGTGGTGGGAAGATTGGCGATACCCCAGTACCCAGCCCGAGGGAAGCTTACACCATGGAGCACAAAACAGGGACTGCAGCCTCCTAGCAGTGAGTCACAGGAGCAAGTGAGCTGCCCAGTGCCTCTTATCTCAAAGTAAAACTTCCCCATGGCAGAAAAATATTTTTCATGCACCAAATTTTAAAAGGAATTCAATAACCAGATTATTGTACAAGGGACCTTGAAGATGGTTTCTTTGAAGAGTTTTACAAAAGGTACAATGCAGAGCATTGTCTCTTGGGATTCTATGTTCACTTAGTGTCATATCATGGTTCTATGCAGAATATTTCTTAGGGGGAAGAAGCCAGGGCCAGACCATTAAGAAGGCCTTGATGGCAAGGGCAGAGCCTTGGCAGGGTGGGAGTCACAGTCCAGGACTCTGCAACAGCCCAGCTATCTTGCAGACAGCTCCTTCCATTCCTCCACTCTGTGCTCCCAGACCCAGGTGAACAGTGTGGCCTAGGGATCAAGGGACTCTCTCACCCCATGTCTCTGAGTGTACCATACCAGCTGTTGCAGCCACCACCCAACCAGGTCTCCAGAGGTTCTCAGGAGAATCTCCCACACCCAGAAAGTCAGGCAAAACCCTGGTAGAGCTGGAGATTTTTATAGCCATTTCATAAGTTGTACAATTAAAATAATTTCTAACTTCCCTCCCAAATCCTTTCCCTTCTCGACCCAGCACCAAAACTTCATACATATACAAACTGCAATGGAATAATAGGGACATGTGACCAAGAGAAACATGATAAGTTATTTTACACCAATCTGTCTTCTGGCAAGGTTAAAGAGACATGTTGCAATGCCCGATTTCCATGGAACCCAGGTCCACTCCCCAAATCCAAAACCGCCTGTGTCATATGCCTTCCCCCAAGCTAACCTACCTGAGACCTCAATACAGGGATCCTGGCACTCAGGACAAGAAGGCCTAAAGATGGCCACCACACCAACACCTGGCCTTCTGTGTCAGAATGTCAGGCCCTGAGGAAGGGAACACCCTGCCTGCCTGAGCCATTGGTCCCCCCTAGTGATTACTGTCAGGCCTCCTCTGGTTACTAATACACCCAAATACCCACCACAAACACAAACAAACCATCCTGATCTGATGAAGTGGAATTTTATGTGATGGAATGTATGTGTTACCTAATGCTGCATAACAAATTATTCCCAAAACATAACAGCCTAAAACAATAAACAATTATTCATTGTTGTATGTAGTTTCTGTTCTGTGGGTTATAAATTTGGGAGTGGCTTAGCTAGGCAGATGTGATTCTGGATATTTCAGTCAAATTCTCAGCCACAATTATTGGAAGGTCTGACTGGAGCTGAAAGATCTGCTCTCAAGATGGCTCACACATGGCTACTGGCAGGAGGCTTTGGTTCCTTGCTGGCTATTGAAGGGGACCTGGGTTACTCTCCATGTGAGGCTCTCCATAGAGCTGCTTGGGTGTCTTCACAACATGGCAACATGGCTGCTGGTTTCCCCCAGAGCAAGCGATCTGAGAAGGAGAGCAAGGAGGAAGCCACAATGCCTTTTATGATCTAGTCTCAGAAGTCACACTATCAATTCCACCACTTTTACTCATTAGAACTGAGTCACTAAGTCTAGCTCACACTGGAAGAGAAGGGAATTAGGCTTCCCTTCCTGAAGGGAAGGTTATCAAAAAATTTGTGGACATATTTTAACAGAAAATTTTCTTTTTTTCTTTTTTCTTGAGACAGAGTCTCTGCTACTCAGGCTGGAGTGCAGTGGCACAATCTCAGCTCACGGCAACCTCCACCTCCCACGTTCAAGCAATTCTCCTGCCTCAGCATCCTAAGTAGCTGGGATTACAGGTGCCTGCCACCACACCCTGCTAGTTTTTGTACTTCTAGTAGAGACGGGGTTACTCCATGTTGGCCAGGCTGGTCTCAAACTTCTGAAATAAGGTGATCCACCCACCTCAGCCTCCCAAAATGCTAGGATTATAGGCATGAGCCACCGCATCCAGCCACAGAAAATTTTCTAATTCAAATAATTACAAGACCCTCTATCAAGAAAACTCTGGCCAGGCATGGTGGCTCACGCCTATAATCCCAGCACTTCTGGAGGCTGAGGTGGGTGGGTCATTTGAGGTAAGGAGTTTGAGACCAGCCTGGCCAACATGGTAAAACCCATCTCTACTAAAAATAGAAAAATTAGCCAGTTGTGGTGGTGCATGTCTGTAATCCCAGCTACTCGGGAGGCTGAAACAGGAGAATCACTGGAACCCAAGAGGCAGAGATTTCAGTGAGCCAAGATTGCACCACTGCACTCCACCTTGGGCAACAGAGTGAGACTCCATCTGACACAAAAAGAAAAAAAAAAGAAAAAGTTAACCTATTCAGAGAAATATAACTGGTGTCCTGCTGATATTTCCCTGGTTTGGCTGCACATTCCTTTCTGGACAGAAATGGAGCAAACACTAGATTTTATCTGTTGGAGGCTATTTTTGCAGGCTGATCCTTTCACTTCTAATAACCTCAACTTCCATTTCTATTTCCTAAGACCTCCATAGTACACAGAATCACATAAGTAGTAAGACATTTTAGGTGAAGAAGAGCAAAGGGGATGCTTGGACTCCGGCTGATTTGTACACTCACAGAAATCAGTGAGGGAGGGGCTGATGCACCAGCCAGTAAGGTGATCGGGGCAGGTTACCAACGGCACTCACTGTGCTGGTAGCCCTCAGCTCAGTAAAGTCACTTCAGATGTGCTCCGAGGTAGGTAGGTAAGGACCCACCCAAAGCTGGAGCACCAAGTTCCTCATGCTCAATGATGGACAATAATAAACCTGCCATGCAGAGAGAGACATGTATCTACTTGACATTGGCAGAAAGTAGAGGAGAAAAAATCTCCATTGAGAAATTCTATTTACAAGGCAGCTGTCACACAGAGGCTCAAAATTCATATGCTACAGTTGACCCTCGAACAACACTGGGGCTAGGAGTGCTGACCCCCGTGCAGTAAAAAACCTATGTATAGCTTTTGACTTCCCCAGAAGTTAACTAACAGCCGGTTGTTGAATCAGTTAACACATATTTTATATGTTACATGTATTAATACTGTATTCTTGCAATAGAATAAGCTAGTTAGAAAAAAAATGTTACTAAGATCACAAAGAAGAGAAAATATATTTCATATTCATTAAGTGAAAGTGGATCATCATAAAAGTCGTCATCCTTGTCATCTTCTCGCTGAGCAGGCTGAGAAGGAGAAGGAAGAAAAGCGGTTGGTCTTCCTGTCTTAGGGGTGGAAGAGAGGGAAGAAAATCACATACAAGCAGATCTGTGAAATTCAAACCCATGTTGTTCAAGGGTCAACTGTAACTGTATGTTCCAAAAAACTCAAATGAAAATTTTAATTTTTTTCAAGACTTTCATAATTACACCTATTTTTTTCTCCTTTTTTACTTGTTTTTTAATCTTCAGTGGAAATTTTAGTTAAAAGTGGCATTTGGTTGATAGTGCCTCCAAAACAGCAAGAAAAGGGCAAATAAAGAAAAATAACACAACAAATATAAAGCACATAAGACGAAGGAAATAACTCAAATTACATCAGGAATCAAAATAAATGCAAACGGCCTAAGCTTTCTAGATAGAAGGCAAAGATTATCGGATGGAGATTTTAAAATCCCATATGCTGTTTCCAAGAGATGCCTTTAAAACTTAAGGATAAGGGGCAGGCATGGTGGTTCATGCCTCTAATCCCAGCATTTTGGAGGCTGAGACAGGTGGATCACCTGAGCCCAGGAGTTAGAGACCAGCCTGGGCAACATGGTGATACCCCATTTCCACAAAAAATACAAAACTTAGCCGGTGCATACCTGTAGTCTCAGCTATTTGGAAGGCTGAGATGGGTAGGGTTGCTTGAGCCTGGGAGGCAGAGGTTGCAGTGAGCCAAGACCTTGCCACTGCACTACAGCCTGGGTGACAGAGTGAGGGACCTTGTCTCAGAAACAAACAAACAAAACTAAGATAGGGACTTTATCTATTTTGATTCCCAGGGAATTAAAAACTAAAGTATAATCTTCAGTGGCAAAATCACCAGGTGTGTGAGTATGATCAAATCTGCTAAGTGGGCTTGTTTTCAGTGTGAGGATTGCCATTAAAGACAGCTGTCTGCAGTGTTGTGCCAGATACTTTATCCTTCGATGCAGTATTAGTTTGAAAAACATGAAGAAAGGCCCAAGGTTATAGTTGGGGTAGCTGAGGTATGTAGATAACTCTGTCACTGAACCGTGCATGTCCGGAAAATGGGACATATAAACCCAACCTCCAAATGTGTTTGTGAAGATTCAACAAACCGTAACGTGCCAGCCGGGCGCGGTGGCTCACAACTGTAATCCCAGCACTTTGGGAGGCCAAGGAGGGCGGATCACCTGAGTTCAAGACCAGCCTGACCAACATGGAAAAACCCTGTATCTACTAAAAATACAAAATTAGCTGGGCGTGGTGGTGCATGCCTATAATCCCAGCTACTCACTTGAACC